GGCAATCCGATCCGAGGACACTGTATACGGGTATGATATCATTAGTACAATAATATATTTCACATCTTGTGCCAACATTCCTAATCTTTTTTTCGTTTAATATAGTATTGTTACGAAATCGGGTTCCAAAATAATTTAGACTATTTTAAACTCATAAACACTATTTATTTAACAATACTTATTAATTACAAAACACATTATAAGGAAATACTGTTTACTCCACTTTCCAAGTTCACTTATTGAGCACGTCCAATTAACTGACTTACTTTAGCAGGCCGCGACTTGCTTATATAGGCATCGCAATACCGCGGGACTGGAGGGGTGCCGCGTTTCGAGACCGCAACGCGAATAGTCCCGGGTGTTCGAGAGCATTCTCGCAGCAGCTTATTTTCAATAGACGGGCGTTCTAGAAAAATCGTAATTGTTCTAAAGTCTTCCATCGTAACACTACCCCCCTCTTAATTTTAATCGTCCCGATCAGAATTATTACAACTATAAGCCATCAATCGATCCAAATTAACAACTGTCATCTTAGGCTTGGGGCTGCGCTGAATTCGATGGACTAGATTATTAATTCTCTTAATAACCTGGTAGGGTCCTTCCCAGGATGGAGACAACTTAGGGGAAAGTCCTTTCTTTTTCTGAGGATTACACAACCATACTTTGTCACCTTCCTTGAAAAGAGTGGAATTCGTTTTTCGGTCATATCTGGTCTTCATCCTATCGCTGTACGTTATGATGCGGTCCATCACTAAATCTTGAATATCCAGCAGCTTTCCCCGTAGCTGATCCGCATAATCGTTTACCTCTAACTCCCCATCAGATGGTGCTCCTTGATCACAATGCAACTCTAGTGGAACACCAAATCTACTAAAAACATTATCTACCAGAACTTCAGCTACTGTGACCGCCTCCTGATTTGGAATAGCAAATGCCTCAACCCATTTGCTGAAGTAATCCTTTGCAACCAGAAAGTATTTGTTGCCTCTTTTGGTAACCGGAAACGGGCCAGCCACATCAATTGCCATCCTTTCAAAAGGCAAACCTCCCTCTGGAACGTGTTCTTGGTCCTTTTACGGCGTTACAGTCTCTGCATCTGCGGCACCATGCCTTGACGTCTTCATAATAATTGACCCAATAAAACCTTTCTCGGATCTTATCCATCGTCTTATTGTGTCCGCCAAAAACGCCCTTATGAATCATCTCCAAAATTTGGCTAACTCTCTTTGAAGGAACCACTAACTGACTTTTGGTCGTCTTCCCATCGGCACTTTCCCAAACTCTTTTAAGTAGGCTATTTTCTACAGTTAAGGAATCCCATTGTGCCCACAATGTCTTGTATTTTAGACCTTTGTCAGATACATCCTTCCAATCTGGTCGGGGTAAGTTTTTATTTTTTATGTAAAAGATCGGTCCAATATTTGGATCTTCTGTTTGGTCCAATTTACATTGCTCTATTCTTCGTCTTCCAAGAACCTTATCTGACGAACATTGTACTTTACTTCTCGGATATCTATCTTCTTACAATGTTTACAATCTTCTTTACAAGGACTTCTCGACAAAGAATCTGCATTATTATGCAATTGCCCACGCGGTGTTTAACTTTAAAATGGTATTGCTGTAGCTTTTCAATCCATCTGGCTACTTGTCCTTTAGGTGTTTTCATTTCCATTAACCATTTCAAAGTAGCATGGTAAGTTCTTATTAAAAATTTACGTCCCTACAGATATTTATGGAAATGATCTACTGCTTTCACTATAGCCAGCAGTTATTTCCGAGTAATGCAATAATTCCTTCCCGGTTTTGACAGGATTCTGCTGAAGTATTCAATGACACGTTCTTTTCCATTCTGGTTTTGTGATAAAACGGCACCAACTCCCATATTACTCGCCGCATCCAATATAAATTTTCCATCTCTCTCTATGGATATCCCAACACTGGACTGGAGCAAAGGGCCAATTTTAGGGTCTTAAACGCCTCACAATCAGAGTCCCATTTAAAACATGCTTTATCTATCTCTATCCGTCAGTTTGTGTAATGGCGTAGAAATGTAAGAAAATCCTTCCAAAAAATCTCCGATAATAAGTGCATAGCCCAAGAAAACTTCTAAGTTGGGTCTTATCTTTGGGCATGGACCATTTTTTTATGGCTCTAACCTTTTCCTTATCAGTTTGATTTCCCTTAGCCGAAACCGTGTGACCCAAAAACTTAACTTTCCGAAAAAATAAACATTTATTCGGATTTCTCATATGCTCTTCAAACGTGCTGCCCATAACTATTGGGCGACTTCCACGTTGGTTTATGGTCGTTCTTCCTCCAATCGATGATGAGCTTCAAATCCGGGTCCCTTTCCTGGTCTTATTGAACCTCAGCGGATTGCCAATGATCATCTACGATTGTAGTCTTGCGAATATACACATACTTTTCTTCGGCCCTGAGACAATGTTTACAGTCTTCCGGGCACGGTCTTCTTGACAAGGCTTCAGCATTTCTATGGATGGTCCCAGCCCGATGATCTGTGTCAAAGTCAAACTCCTGTAATCTCTCAATCCATGTTACTACCTGTCCTTCAGGATTCTTGAATTGCAAAAGTCATTTTTGGGCAGCATGATCCGTTCTTAGCAAGAATTTTCTTCCATACAGGTAAAAGTGTTGGACTGATTTTAGTACTGCTAACAACTCTCGTCGCAGTAATTACGTTCTGGTTTGGATAAAGTTTTATTGAAGTATCCAATAACTTTCTCTTTTCCCTTTTGAATCTGCGACAAAACAGCTCCCAGTCCCACATTGCTGGCGTTCGTGTTTAAAATAAATCCACCATCCGGAAGAGGATAACTCAGGACTGGTGTGTTGGTAAACGCATATTTCAGGTAATTAAAGGCTTCTTGGCACTCATCGTCCCATTGGAATCGTCTCTCTCCCTCTGTCAAACGTGTCAAAGGCTTAGCAACCTTTGCGAATCCTGGTACGTACCGACGGTAGTAGGTGCATAATCAAAGAAAGCTTCTTAAATCATGTTTGTTCTTCGGTATTGGCCATTCCCGCACCGTCTTCACCTTTTGTTTGTCCACTGCCACTCCTTGACTTGAAACGACATGGCCCAGATACTGCACTTCCCTCTGGAACAAGTGACATTTCTTCGGGCTAAGCTTCAGGCCGGAACTTCTTAAGCGCTGAAAACTGAAAATGATTTTCCAACCACAATGATATCGTCAAGGTACACCAAGCATGTCTTCCAGGATAGTCCCTTCAAAACCATTTCCATGAGCCTTTCAAAAGTTGCCGGGGCATTACATAGTCCAAGCATGACAGTAAACCCACGGTAAACGCCGCCTTTTCTCTATGTTTTGGTGCCATTTCAACCTGCCAGTAACCGCTCTTTAATTCCAAAGTCGAAAATATCTGTGATCCAGCCAATGTATCCAAGGTGTCATCGATCCTATGCAAAGGATAGCTGTCCTTCTTCGTAACATTGTTAAGCTGACGAAAATCGACGCAAAATCGAGTGAATTTATCCTTTTTTATAAGTATGTATCTTTTTTGTAAATATCCATGGATATGCATATTTATTTTTTTTATTTATTTTATACATTATTATTCATTCGAATTGTATTTATAAAATTGTCATGTCATATTATATTTATATATTTGTCCTGTAACTGGTTTATAACTGTTGGGCAATAAAGTACCTATTTAATTTAATTTAATTTAACTGTTAGTCTGTCAACGTTAACGTTGCCCTGTGCGTAACGGGGTCCGCACTGGAGAACCTAGGTGACCAGTTATCCCTCACGGAGTGAAGCATTTTAGTATCTACTGCAAAGTACATACGCTGAAGAAAAAGGAGCATTCAATGTTTAAAATTAACGGTCAATACTGCATTTTGAGCAACGAAACGTCCCGTATCACACCGATATTTGTTTTAAAATTACCACAAAAAAATGCATTTTAGTTACAGGGACAGTGTACAACTAAATTAAGTCTTAAACAATAAAATAACGGAATAGAAATTTTTATATTTACAGTAAACTTAAAACCCAAAAACATTTTTATAAAATATCTATTCAAAAATAAATTTGTTATTTTTCTTATATATATATACGAGCCCTAACCACAAAATGTTCGGACACTTTATAATTTATACAGAAATATTTTTCGTGAATACTATCTCAAAATTATTAGAGGTTATGAAAAATTCAGCTTATTTTAGCATATACCCCTCGAAGCGATTTTTATTTTTAAAAAGTTTACCTTTTATTTTTAGCTTTTAAAAAAAGGCTAACTTTTAAACTTTTTTTTGTATGAGTAAAGAAAGTTATAAATGGGCCCATTAAAAAGAGCATAAAATATTATACAAACCCTGAAAATTTGGTAAAAAATAAATAAGTTATAAAAAAGTATAAGTAATTTAAAAATGCTATTTTTAAAGAGTTTTTGCAATTTTCTTAGGAAACGGGAGATTTTGCAGATATATATATCGTTATAACTTTCTTATTATTTATACAATTTTTACCAAATTTTCAGGGTTTGTATAATATTTTATGTTCTTTTTAATGGGCCCATTTATAACTTTTTTTACTCATACAAAAAAAAGTTAAAAAGTTACCCTTTTTTTAAAAGCTAAAAATAAAAGGTAAACTTTTTAAAAATAAAAATCGCTTCGAGGGGTATATGCCAAAATAAGCTGAATTTTTCATAACTTCTAATAATTTTGAGATAGTATTCACGAAAAATATTTCTGTATAAATTATGAAGTGTCCGAACATTTTGTGGTTAGGGCTCGTATATATATATATATATATATATATATATATATATAGGTTTCCATGGAAACCTATATATATATAATCCACGGGCGTTATATGTATTAATAGTTTTTCAGGATCTGCTCCGTGTTGTCGGTTTTTAGCTTTATACGGTTCTTTTAAAAACCAAAAACCGACAACACGAAGCAGATCCCGACAAACTATTAATACATTTACATATATATAATATTACAGGTAAAATTGGAATAACAATAGATTCTATATGGGCAGAGCCAAAAACCAATCAATCTGCGGACATTTCAGCGTCAGTGCGTGAAATGCAAATGGGCGTAAGTATAAAACATGTCGTTAAAAAAATGTATCTAATAATAAATGATTTAAAAGAAAGACTTATTGATAATGTCCTAGCGATGCGTTGAAGTCTGGAGAAAAAAAGATTTAAATCATGCTTGCAATATCCTGTCTTTTTTAACTCGTTTTACACATTACTTTCACTTTGTTTATGATATTTTGGAAAGTTATAAAAACTTAAAATAATTAGTAAAATCTGTCGAGCAATTGTATATTTTGCAGGGTGTCCCAAACTGATTTAGCTAGGCTTTATAAAGTATAAAGTTTATAAACCGTTTGAGACATTTCAGTGAATCAACAAAATATGGCTGTTGGTATAATACAAGGAGGTCAAACTAAGGCACATGTAGCAAATCACTTTAATGTGTCAAAAAGTGTAATTTTTAGACTTTTATTTAAATTTTTTGAGACTGAATCTGTAGAAGAAATACGAAGAAGTGGAATACCAAAGAAAACAACACAACAAAATGAACATTATTAGACTATATCTGCTCGTATAGAGCCGTTATCGACGTGCTGTCAACTAGCAAGCCGCCTAGAAAATGCAAGAGGAGTTTAAATTTCCATGGCAACGATTAGGAGACGTTTATGGATAACAATCTGGTTTCTATGCGTTTACTTTGACGAGTTTCATTAATTGTGGTACACAAATAAGCAAGATTACGATGGGCGAGAGAAACTGGGTATAAGAATGGCAATCTGTATTTTTTACTGACGAGTCCAGATATGGTCGATTTTCTTACAGTCGACGTGCACGTGTATGGACAGCACCAGGAATACTCTCCTGTAGGCAAAATTTTCCTTTTCTAGACGATAATGCGAGACCGCATCGCGCTTCACGAGTTGCCACCTATGTTACCCGACCTTAATCCGATAGAACATGCATGGGATTTTATTCAGCCAACCCTAGATGACCAATAGCCAAGACCTGAGACCCTTGGAAAACTAAGGCACCTGTTCCCCCTTATTTGGGCACAAATTCCTCAAGATATGCCGGATAACCTTAACGATGCCTAGACCTTGTTAAGCTGTGGTTAAGAGGTTCTAAGTTTCTTTTTAATTTGAGAAATGAAACTTTGTATTAATTTCACTATGGGTTATAAAATCTAAAAATATTTATTAACTTTGGTCTCCACATTATTTTAAGTATTCCCTAGTATGCCACAAATTTTATATATATATATCTGCTACGTGAACCCGGAAAACCATCAATATATATATATATATATACATGCATCTTGTATGAAGTGGCACCCACTTAATCAACGTAAATGTGACCCCCTCGTATAAAAAACCAATTTTAAAACTTGACATTGTGGCACCACCAAAAATCATGATCAAGTAGCACCCTTCACGTATAAACTGGTTATAATTATATTCAAACCGGCACCCTCCACTGTTGCCATACTTACGGGTGCCATATTGAAGATATACAATTTAATATAATTTTATTTAGTAATATTCATATCTGAAAAATGTTGATTACCTAAGACAAATATGGTGAAATACTCTATTTTATATTATTCTGCATCATAATTCGAAAATTATAATAATATTAGCTTTATTGAGATAAAATGGAGTGCGTAAAATAAGTTTTATAATGCAACTCCATTGAAAATTCGATTTTAGGCGCGCAAATGAAAGAAATTAATGTTAGAATTTTTTTTAAAGATGTCAGGAATAATTACCATTAATATTTTTGTATTTGTCTTTTAAGAATTTAAAAATCTCTCACTACAACGCGGTATTGCGGGAGCGGCGGTACGAACAAAATTTTTGTTTATTAATTATAAATTCACATTAATGTGAGAGCGAAAATTTTGACTTTTTTTATTTAATAAGTACCTACCAAAATATGTTTACCAAAGGTAGTAAAATCTAGATTCATGCACCACAGTGTCATTTATAAGTGCTTGAGAATTTTTATTACTTTTTTTCGTGTAAGTACATGTAAAAAAAATTAAATCAAAAATATAAAATTATCTCATTATTATTATTAAAATAAAGATAAAAATAACTACTCAAAAGAAGTTGGGTAAGTTGGGTAAAGGTACAACATACAAAAAGTGTCTGCATGTTCTAGCAATAAGTTTGTCATATTGTCCATAAAGAATAAACCAGTTCATCAAAACTTTATTTGAATAGTGATTTTTCTTCATTTTAACTATTTTATTAACAATTTTTATTAAATTAATGAATTTCTAACTATATTAGTAAATAATAATATACCTTTTAATGAAGGTACCGGGCGTTCAATTAAACCGTTTATACACATACTTATCGACATATTTACTTTAGACCGAAAAAAAAATATATTAATTTATTATTTTCTTGTCATATGAAAACATACAGTTATTAAAACTTATTCGTAGATTTCACTTGTATTGTTTAATAATTTAAAATTAATATTTAAAAATTTGAAATAATAAATAATAGGAATTGTAAAATATCTTTGTTATTATTAACTTTAGGGAATGGTTATATCAATGAAAAGGTATTATAATTTCATATTTAATTATGTAAAAATATACAGGGCGTTCCGTTAAAAATTAAAAACTTATTGCTGTTTTAAGTTATCTACATTCACATTGCTTTTTATCAAGTATCTTTTAAGAAATATTACAATAAATACAACCGAATATCATCAAACCTAATATTAAAAAAAATATAAGATTTTTTTGTTGAGGGTGAAACTGACCGAATTTTACGAAAAAAATTAATAACTCAATAACTATTAAGTTTTGGTATAGAACATGATATACCTAGTCATTTTATAAGGAATAATATTAAAAAATAAAAAATGTAAAAAAATTGTGATGATTCATTTAAAATAACAAAGTTGATATCGCTTCCGTTAAAACCGGAAGTGGAATTTTGTTCCAAATAATGATAATATTATTATAATTGCTTTAAAAAATTTAATTTGATATCTTTTTCCGTTTTCCATAAATATGTAACCTACCATCGACCCTGATACACCCTGTATAATATTTTAATTCCCTTTCAACTAAAAAATGAAAAAAACATCAACAGTATTTTTTTATACTAACGTCAGTAGGCCAGTTATGTTTTGCATTTAGGTAATTTAAACTGTTACGAATCATACTAAAAGTTTTGGTAATTTTGGGGCCAAGCGGTGGCCGAATGTTTGGTGCTCATAAGTTTAATTTTTAAAACAAAAAGTAACTTACTTTGATAAAGAGAAAGAACAAAATATTTTTTAATGTTTTTCAGATGCAGGTTTAAAAAATGTTTACGATTTTTCCTCATCGGAAGAATCTGATCCTTACAAAACAGATGGAAGAGAAGATGAATACATACCATCTAGCGAAAATAGTAGTGAATATGTATATAATTTTATTTTAAATCTGCTGCCTTAATTTTATATTCCCAAACAAGTGCACGAATGTGAAGACAAGCCATAGGCGAGTTTTGCAATAACATAACTAAAAAAAACCCCTCTGGACAATTTAAAGAAAAATATAGACTTTTTCCATTGAGAAAATCGACGATGAAGCCATGGAGAAAATATCATAATAGGTTCAGCTATGGAAACTTGCTGAGAAATACTGTCCTAAAATAATTTTTATCATTTGTAATTTTATTATATAATGGTAATTTGTAAATTTTAACACAATGTAAAAGCCTTCTGCAAAATTTTTTAACTTCTTCACTTTATTTTAAAATATATATACAGTGTGTCCCGCTTAAGACCTTACCACCTTCGTAAAATTTGTATTTTTTAACCGATTTTTGTAAACTTTTTTTGTTGGATAGATCTCTGGAAAAGGATTTAAACGCATATGTCACTGGTTTTAAAAACTAAACTGTGATCTCTTTTTTAGTACTACCTACTAGGGATTTTTTTAGAGCAAAAGTTACAACGAATTTTTATTCGGGGCCACTAAAAACCGAAATTTCGACCCAAAACAGACATCACAGTTGGCGATGAGTTTTGTCGTCAAAACAAGAGGATGGTAGGTTTTAAGTGGGACACTGTGTATATATTTATAGAAATATTAATAAATGGACTTACGATAAATTTTTACGATTTAAAAATGCCTATTTTTTTTGTGATATAAGAAAAAAGTTTTTCCTAAAACCATGGAAAAAATAACATCTATGTGAAAACAAAATTTCGATTGCGTTAACCGTACACCAAATTCGAATGCATACCACTTTCCTGCAAAGAATAAAACAATTTCTATTTTCCACCATCAAAGATGAAATAGATTGAAGTCCCTAGAAATACAAATAACAAAAAACGTTTAAACATCCGAAAGCAAGTGATTTTGATATAAATTTAAAACGAGAATGCAAATCAGCCTTATCAGAATCATATTCTTAATATTTCTTGTGTAAATTATTATTGTATCTAACAAATTCTCCAAAAAAGTAATGATTTGTTATGTTTATTATACTTAATAAACCTAATACATCATCACTTGTTTTGAAGACTATATAATTATACGATCTTAGAATGAAGAATGAACCAAAACAATATTTAAAATCAAAATTCCCGCCAGCCGCTTCTCGCTGCCCTCCGGACACGGCCGAATACTTCCGAGGTTTCCGTGATAATTAGTGTCGTCTGTTACACACGAGGTTTTAAAGTTTCTTCCACTGTTGCCAAATTTAGGGTGCCATAATGTAAAGGCATATTATGGGTGCCAAAAGTTTAACAATTATAATGAGTGTATAAAATATATACATCTGTATAAAAAAGAGCGCCATCTATAATAAACTTCGCAAACTAAACTGTATATCCGGGAGTAATCTTTGTCAAAGTGGCACCCTTCAAATTTTTTGTTATATGGTTTAGAAGGACCCTACCTTCATTGGAAAAATTTTTGAAGGCAAAACAAAGTGGCACCCGAAACCGGGTGCCACATTGTAAAATTGGGAGTCACATTGACAATGTTTATACCATATGGGTGCCTAAATGACACTGTCTATATATATATATATATATATATAT